TAACTACTGGAACTATCGATTAGAGAAGCAGCATAAGAAAAATCAACTTACCACTGAAGGATGCATGGGAATACTCATTTTGAGGGCTGCACTGGCATATCACACTGTCACCCGAACCAGATTTGGAGGCAGCTGAGCTAAATGGGGTTCTGTAGTGGCAAAGTTGCCAGCACTTGCACTACCACTATCTGTGCCTATAAGACACATTGCCAATTAGCTCCTTTAAAGAGCCATAAAGCAGAAATTATACTCTGCCACTTCATACCTTTACGGACAAACTTCCCAATCAACAGACGCCCACCATTTTGTGTCGCTTTCTTAGACTCCACCTGGCATAGAAAACATGTACAAGTTGCAGATGAATGACTATTTAAACACAACAAAAAAAATGGAACATAATGACCATCAGAAACACAGAATGCCTCAACTAGCTTGCTAACGGTAGAAAAACTGGACCAAATCAATATAGCGCAAGCTCATGTGCCCATGATCACATCTAATCATTGGTCCCATGCAAATTACCTACCTTCAAAGATCTGACATCCAATGAACCCGTCGGTGCTTCCATCCGCTTTTCTCTGTGTTTGTTTATCCTTAGGTGACATTGACTTCTTGAGGGGAAAACTAGCCCGAATTGGTGACTTTTATGGCAAGCCTGCATTGTATCCGTGTTATTCTTTGCTCTTCCACTTGAAATGCTCTGCTCAACCTTTTTGCTGTCGCAATTCCATTTTTCCTCTAACAATTTCCATCTTCTACCAAAAATATTATCCAATTCCTTTGCCATGTGATGAACATTGTTTGAAGGAGGATTATACAGCATAGCATTGGAAAAGGTCAGTCTAACATCAGCCTCAAATTCATCAACACTAAAGTACACATTACCCTCCAATTTTGTTTTAATCGTTCCCAAATCCATGGGTTCAGCAATTATAGAGAAATAATCTGGTATATTTAATGCCAAAGGATCCACTGGTTTGTTGAAAACCCACCCCGATCGATGAGTCATCAACATTTTCAGAATGCTACTACACTGTTGCTTCAAAGTACGATCAATTTTCTGCCTTTTCTCCATTTGGCCGTCTACCATTCCTGATGGTCCACGCTTATTGGAGCCTGGAATGGGTAGTTTCACCTTCAAGCTATCAGCAGAATACAAGTCTCCAGAAGAACGAATCACAATCTTTTGTGCTTTATTCATCTCAGACTTCTTGTTTCCATTCGACGACATGTTGCGTCCGCATTCATCATTTTTGAACATCTGTTGGCTAAATTTACATGATTCTATCCCTTGTTCAGCTTCAACCTTTTTGGAGGCACAAAATTTAATCTTCAACTTCTTTTTTACGCCATTCTCAGTGACGGCCATAGTGGGGAAACACAAAGACTGAAGTGGGGAACCACCCAACTTTCCTGATTGCCTCTCAGACACCATTACCCTTAATCTTTTTACCAAGACAACACCAAGTAACCAAGTGTCTGATTAACTTTGTGCCAGAGAAGAACCCAAAATTCATGGATTGCCAAAAAAAGTCAGCGAAACAGTTACTGCATAAAAACATACCCCAATAAGAAGCGGTTAATCATCCATGAGAAAGTAAACATATTAATATATTTTCTATAAATATTTTCTTCATCTACAGAAATTCATGACAAACATAACACACATAATCTTAACCAGAAGCAAAGATGAGTGTCCCTATACCAGCACACCCCAACTGGCAAGTCAGATATGATTATTAAAATTAAAGAAATTATCAGTGGATGACTCCAAGCATGCATGAGACTTATAACAGATATACGGTTTATATTCTAAATGTATACAACTAGCTGACCTGAGTAATGATTGAACTAAATAGAAAAAATCTCCAGAGTAAAACGCCATTAAAATAAAATGATCAATCAAAATGGGGCCAAACCAAATCAAAGTTGAGTTTCACAAAAAATATAACTACCTACAAAATTCAATCAACCCATCTACATTCATAGACCAGAACAACAAAAAAATTGAAGTCAACCCAATATTAAGCAAAATTAGCGGTATTTGCAATCTATTCATTGGAAACAAAAAAAAAATTAAAAAGTCTTCAAAATAAGTAATCAATCGATTAGATTCACTACCCCGAAATTGTAAAAACGATAAAAACAGAACCCACTCAATCATAACTCATAAAGATCGATATGTAACAGTTAACAGTTATCAAAACAAAGCAATCAAACCAAAGAATCAAAAAGTGAATTTGATCAGCAAAGAAACCAATGAAAAGAAATTCAGAACGCAATCCTACTGGAAAATCAGAAAAAACACTTTGTACCCAGAACCTGATTAGGGTCATGCTAGGTGGGCTGACCTGGGTTACCTAAGATTTAGCAATTTAGAATTATTTGTACAAAATAGATACCCCTTATTCGAACTCAAAAACCCACGATTGTAAGAATGATGATTAATGCTTATACCATGCACCAGGCAATGACCCTGAATCTAAACACTTCCAAAAACCATAAAAGATTCAAAGGAGAGTTTTAAAAAATAGGGTTATATCAGAGTGCAAGAAATCCAAAAGAGAACGAGAATTGGCACATACCCAGAACTTAATTAACTATAAAAACATTAACTGTACGAAAGATAAGATAACCAAGACAGAAAAACATCAGGGTTTAGGTTTTCGAAGATGAGCTCTCACCAGAAACAATTCTTACAACTTTGAAGAACTTGTAATCATCGATCCATAAACCCAGAAAGCTCGATTGCAGAGACCGAAGTCACAGAGAGAGAGGGGCTTAAGAGCCCCCTCTTAATTCTCAGAAAAATGCTTCTGGATGTAGTCTTCTGTACTGCTTCAGTGTAAAACGAAGGAAGGTTTCACACAGATAGAAAGCTGGTTTTGTTTTAGCGAGGGAGTTAGGGTTTTACGCTCTCTCTCTCCCCCTATCTTGAAGAGTTCTGCCGACTTTGCATGATGAAATGACGGATTTGCCCATGATATAATAATGCTATAAACAACGAGTTGCTTTCGGGTCAAGGGTTGATTTTGTTTTGAGCGACGGATTTTACCCATGTAAGGTCAATGACTATTGTTAATTAATTATTTTATTTAATTATATATTGTTGAGTATAATTTTCTAATTACTCATCCCAATTGTTTAACAAATTGATTAAAAATTAAAAAATAAAAAATAAATAGCCCCACAATATATGTTTTAATCTTTTAAGATCATCCATTATAAATTCGAGTAAATTTTAATATATCCAAGTGAGTTTTTCATTAATAAACAACGAATAATTTAAAATCGAAGAAATTGAAGAACATCTATTAGTAAAAAAGGATCATTGACCTTGATTTCCTCCACTTTAGGCTTATCCTCTTGCTATATTATGACGTAAATACTTTCATCAATATTTATTTTAAGCAATCTTTTCAATAAATTTATCAAAATTAGCCAGACAATCGTGTAGAGGTTGTATAATGTTCAAAAATTTGGCAAAGCACAAGGGACACATAAAAACTAATAAGGAATTCCATAAAATATCTGTATTACTGAAAAGTTACTATTCAACAAGATTATATTACGACTTAATAATGTTTGTGACACCTAATTTTTGAGATCAATAATAAAAATCTTCGAATTGATTTTGAAAGTTGCTCGTGATCCTGAATTTTCAGGTAAATCCCAAATCAATTGCATTGAATTGTAACTTGGTATGTTAAATTCTTCGCTTGACCTAATTAGGTTGAACTCTTGGTACAAAATAAAAAAAATACTAATTTGAAACCATAGAAAAATCCAAAATTTCGATACACAAATTGGATAAAACGTACTCCACATTTCAAACTTCATTCTTCTTTCTCAATGCCCATCAAAAATTAAAAGAAATTGTACAAAACTTGAACTTATCAAGATCATAGGGTGCTCTATGATAGCTCGGATGGTAGGGTTTAGAGAATATATATATATATATATTTGTTATTTTAGTCTTTATTGTATCAATTTTGTCTCTAAAACATTTAATTCGTGTCATAATATCACTTAAACTGTTTTATGCTCTTTACGAGGACGATAATACTGTTAATATGTAATTTATACTCGATTAGAACAACTTGCTTCTTTTTATTGCTTAAATATGAATGTGTCTTAAATATGCTTTTGCTTCAATCTCCATTCTTCTTTTGAACCAACTCATCTTCATAAATCCTTAATTCAGTTCTCCTTTCCTGCCACTAATTCATGGAACTCAATAAAATTTGCTATTTTATTTATCCTATCTCTCGAAAATGTAGATGAAATTATGTGAGTGCCTTGATTTACATGCAAAGAAGCATAGTGGCCATACATAGGATGATATTAATTACACATATAATGCAGGGTCGATTGTGGTGTCTTTTTTTGCTACATAATGAAAAAGGTTGCATTTAGCGAAGAAATAGAAGAAAAGTTGACAGTTGAACGAGTGGGAAACTTCCGGGAATTAATGCTGTCAATGTTTCTAGACCATCGAACATCCTGGACTGAAGATGATTTCAACCAACGAACTCCTAGTCTTGTTCACCCGTCAACTTCTTTTCTATTTCTTCGCCAACTGCAATCTTTTTAAAAAATACTCTTTTCTAAATTGCTCGATAAAGCAGAGTTAACTGCACAAGAAGCCTCTTTACACACTGCAAACAATACAGGGAAAAAAAAAACATAAAGGAGGCAACTGCAGGTTTATCCAAGACATCAAATTTTTCCACATAAGGCATCTTGGGTTTTGCACCATGAACTTCCTAGACTATAGTAATGAACAACAAATGGAAATCTTCAATAAACAAGTTCTGCTAAGTGTTCTTTCATAAGCAGTTTCAGAAGCCAAAACCTGCTTAAGTTTACATGTGATATTTCTTTCTCATTGCCAAGGAAACTTGTTATAGCATAAAATGACTTAAGCAATGAACCATAAGAGCCGTAATTACATGCTTGAGCTCACCTTGATCTTATTCCTTTTAGAATGAAGCTGACTATTAGAGACAGAACTCAAGCATATGCTTCAAATTTGGGTACTGAATGCATTCTGTGCATGGAGACACCTAAATCTCACTGTTATTTAGGTTTTTATTGCAGCAGAGTGGTCTACAATGGCAGCCAAAACTTGGTATGAATTTATTGTATTCAACAATGGAGGGGAAAAACACCAAGGTCATCAAACCAACCACAAGAAATAGACTTAATTCTCGGCAATTCAAGGCCTTGTCAAAATCAGCAAATGACGCAGCTATGGCAACTTGCCTAGCATGGGCAGCGGAGCTATACATGTAAAGATTTACTCCAAAAGTACTGAAGCATCAAGTCATCATGCAGATCAAAATTTCGTGAAGGCATGGAAATGCATCAGTTGCTGAATGTATAGCAGCACATCTCTGCAGCCCCAATAGCTTTGTTTCACAGTTAGTTGATATATATTGTGACAAATCTGTTTCGAGGACTCACCAAATGAGCACCTCTAACAGATTTGCAGATACACTTCTATAGAGTTTTTACTCATGATTGTGGCTCTCCCCTTCTCATGTATATCAAGGATGTACACAATAATGAAATTCTGTTTACTATACTGCTGACAAGTGACTTTTAGAATAACAGTTCATATATCCTTGATTTGACGAAAAATGGACATTGTGATAGTTATTTGCTAATCTATAAGTTAGTAGCAACTGAGTGTAGTGGATGCACCTGAGCAACTTAATATGATATTTACACATCGGGAACACACCTAATATTTACTTACGCATTTATGAGTCTGTTTTGAGTTAAAATTATTGAGATGTCGAATATACATTTTCTATGATTAATAGGGCTAGTGCTTCAACATTCATCCTCCTTTTGAACTCTAGTAAGAGTGTGTCAGGGTTGCGTTGGAGCATGATGGAAATTACCAACTAAAACCTTTTAAAACAGAAGGCTAAAGGAAAACGCTCATATCAGGTCCCTTATACAGAAGTGCTGTTGTCATTTTCAAAACCACCTTACAAAAATATTACTATAGATTGGTTTTGTTTATTAACATTCTGCGTAAATTTACCTGTAATGTCCTAATAGATCACTTTCGGTTTGACATAAATTTACCAATTTGTCCTAATAGATCACTTTCTGTTTGACATAAATTTACCTGTTATGTTCTAATAGATTGCTTTCTGTTTGAAATCTGAAGTCTTTCTTCTTTTATCTCAGCGTATTAGGTAAATTTTCCGATGCCATTTTGCTTAAATCAGTTATTTCTCTTTTATGTGCAAATCAATGGTAAAAAAACACCAAACAACAATCAAAAACAACCAGAGACAGCAATTTTTGTTTATCTGCTGTTAAGATAATCAATAACTATTGATTTCCTATGACAGTCACTCCCCCTCTTTCTTTATATACAACCCGAGCAGTGCACTCCTCCATTATATACAAACGAGCTGAGCCATTTGAAACGGATTCCAGAGTAACCCTCCTCAACGCCTTCTAAAACCAGGCCAGACCACTCTTTGATCGGGAAGCGAACAACCAATTAACTGCTCAAAATCTTTTAAGACGGTACAAAAATCATTGAACTCAACAGTTTTTTTCATCTCCTCTAATGCGATTCTGGCAGCTTCCCTTTCTCTCTCCCGCTGCAATCTCAAGTCTCTTTGTTCAGTATTGATTTGAGATTTAATCCTGGCCATCTCTTCACGCTGCTTCCTTTGTAGTCTTTGTTTTTCCTTTTGTAATCCCACAGGATCATCTTTATACTCATGATAGGATAATGTTCGTTTCCCTTTCGGGGTAGTGTCAGCGAATCGAGTCTTCAACTTCGCAGCACGTAGAGCTTTCGGGGACAGCTGGCCATCAACATTTTTGGCCAAGTTTGAGAGACAAAAATTTAAACTCTGATGAGAATCTTTGCTGGACGGCCCAATTTTCCGGATTTTCCAAATGCCATTTGGTTTTCGGAGCTCCGACATCAAAACAATGGTCAGACTTCCACATTTTGCTTAGGTCCCCGCCTACTATCTCCATCGATCCACGCTTATTAAAGCTGACATTGTCAATGCAAAATTTCACAATAATCTCCATTGAATAATTTTCTTGGGCTTGATTTTCTTGGGTTTTCTGATTCTTGAAGTCTTCAACTTTTACTGGATAAAAAATCTGTGTTCTTCAATATTTATAACTTGTTTCCCGTTGCAGTGTTTAAACAGAGAATGAAAGACAGACGGCGCGCAAATCTTGCTTCTATGTCTTCAAATAATTACAAAATGCCCCCCCTCAAATATGGGTCATATTGTAATCAACTCCCTCTTGTTTTAATTTAAATCCTCTTAAAGTTAAAACATTTTTCAGTTAGTTTCTAATGTTAATTTCTGCCTTCAAATATGATGGAAATGAGTCACAATAGCCTCACGCACCCACCTCTACGACAACCATCCCTTCGCTTCCAACAGCAGCCGTGACAACTAATCCCTCCCTCCACTGCTGAAATCACTCACAACAGTCCCCCTCCCCACCCACTAGCTGAAAGCCTCCCCCAACGAAACTCCTCTTGTAGCTATAGTAGAAAGAAGAAATTTTTGTGGGTATATCTCGAATTGGGGAGAGAGAGATTGATTTTGTGCTATATGTGTATGGTTTGTGTATACATACATATATATGGGTTGGCACAGAGCTAATTGCAGCACGATCCAAACTTGAAAGGGGCATTTATAATTAACCTGTTGTAGCAGTGGTGATTGTGTATGGATCCAACTTGGCCACCTGCAATAAAACAAAAGAACAACAAATCAAATCTCTGATAAAAAAGTAAATTTAATTGATTTTTCTTAAACAAGTAAATTACAACGGTTCTATTTATTTTTCTGATATTTCTCTCGTGTAGAAAAATCTCCCGTCGATCCTTTCTCATAATTTTTTTTTTTCTGGTTATTTCCAATTAGATCCTTCATAATCCTAATTAGATTCTCCCTTTCTGGCAAAAATTCATAAAGTTTCATATTTTTTGATATTTTAACTGCCCTATATTAAGAAAATGATGATGAAACTGTGTGAATCCCTTAATTTACATGACAGAAGCATAGTGATACCATATTGAAACAGGAGGCATAAATTAGGCAAATTTCTAAAGCATATTGACCATATGTAACCAAGCAAAATTGAGTCATGTCTTCCTATTTACTAACAATCATTTCTCTTTTTCAATATACATGCATCGAGTATAACACAGCAAATGATGGTATAGTAATGAACATCAAATGATACTAGGAAATATGGTTCGAAGAATCTCGATAGTAGTTCCACGAACAAATCCTTTGTAAGATTGGATTTTTTTGATAGTGGAAATGCCAAAAAGCACGAACCACATTGTTAAAAGTTTAAAGTAAACTTTTGGTAAATATTATATTTAGAATCTTGTAAAACATATTTGCACCTTGTATCCTTTTACCCACATCTAGAACCTTCACCTTTTCACCACTAAACTAGAATTCTTGAACCTTCCAAACCTCTACCTACCTTGAGCTTTTAGACCCTTCTCTAGTCATCTATAAATAGACCCCCCACCACCCTAAATCACCAAGTCAACAAATCATCAACAACAATTATCATTGCAAGGTTGTTCCTAATTTCTCTTATGTAAGCTTTTGATTGTAAGTTTGTAACTTAGATTTTTTCATTTAAGAATCTTTGTGCGGAGTTTGGACTTATTTCCAAAAGTTCACTTTAAGGGGGAGTTTTAAAAGTTTAAAGTAAACTTTTGGTAATTATTGTATCTAAAATCTTGTAGAACATGTTTGCACCTTATATCCTTCTACCAACATCTAGAACCTTCACCTTCTCACTACTAAATTAGAATTCTTGAACTTCCAAACCTCTACCTACCTTGAGTTTATAGACCCTTCTCTAATCATCTATAAGTAGACCCCCCACCACCCCAAATCAGCAAACCAACAAAAAAAACAAATCACCAACAACAATTACTTGCAAGCTTGCTCCTATTTTCTCTTTTGTAAGCTTTTGATTGTAAGCAACAAATCACCAACAACAATTACTTGCAAGCTTGCTCCTATTTTCTCTTTTGTAAGCTTTTGATTGTAAGCTTGTAACTTAGATTTCTCCATAATAATAAATGCCTTTCTTTCCTCCCTCATTTTTGGAGCTATATTTTTAATTTCTTCGTTCTTCTTCAACTTCGGCTGTGAATCTTGGGTTATATCCAATAAACCCTGCCATCCAAGCTATCTAGAGGGGTTCAAGTTCAACCTAACATTACATCTAGCTTGATGTATATTCCTAACTTCAACCAACACTTGGCTGTGACATTCAAGAGCTTGGAGTGAATGGTTGTGACAGAATACAAACGATGGAAGGTGAAAAACAGTAGGGATCATGGAAACTACTTGCAATTTCTTCTTAATGTCATCAACCAAACCATAAGAAATTGACTTGTTTCCATGAAACATGGGCTGAAACATTCCAAAACATGCAGTAACATACCAAAACCTACCGCAACTCTGCAAAATACGAGAATTTCAATTTTTCATTAATGATTTGTTTTGATTTCCACTGAAAGCTGAAATGTTTTGGCTATTTCGATATATTTTCATTATTGCACATGATTTGAAGACGGTCCTTGAATTCCTTTGTAGCTAAATATAGTGGACAGTGGCATCAAGGCAAATTCATGAAACTTGACAAATTTTGCTATTTCCTTTATCCTATATCAAGAAAACCGTATTTAGCAATTCAAAATTGAATCATATCAGTGCATTTATTGACAAGCATTTCATCTTTCAAGAAAGTAAGCTTGTCAACAGTGTGTTGGGGCTGTGTTGAAGCTTGATGGAACTTACCAACTCAAAGCTTATAAAACAGAAGGCTAAAAAGAAACACTTACACATCAGTAGCTTAAGCATCCCTTATATCAGTAACATTAGAAGTGTTATTGTCATTTTCAAAATTACCTGACAAAAATATTACTATAGAATGGTTCTGTTTACTAAGATTCTGCATAAATTGACCTATTATGTCCTAATATAATTCGCTTTCTGTTTGAAATCTGAACTCTTTCTTCTTTTATCTCAGCGTATTAGGTAAATTTTTTGATTTCATTTGCTTAAATAAGTGATTTCTCTGTTATGTACTAATGAATGGAAAAAAAACACCAAACAACGATTAAAAAACAACACAAGACAACAATTTTTGTTTACGTGGAAACCCTTCAGTGTGAAGGGAGAAAACCACGGGACCAAACTCAGTTGGTCCAATTCTTCCACTATCAACCAAATTGGCCAGGATTACAATACTGTTGAAATCTGCTGTTAAAGACAATCAAATAACTATTGATTTCCTATGACTGTCTCTCCCCCTCTTTCTTTATATACAACCCGAGCAGTGGACTCCTCCACTATATACAAACCGAGCCGAGCCATTTGAAACGGATGCCAGAGTAATCCTCCTCAATGCCTTCTAAAACCAGCCCACACCACTCTTTGATTGGGTAGCGAATGACCAATTAACTGCTCAAAATCTTTTAAGACCGTAAAAAAATCATCAATCTCAACAGTTTTTTCTATCTCCTCTAATGCGATTCTGGCAGCTTCTCTTTCCCTCTCCCGCTGCTGCAATTTCAAGTCCCTTTCAACAGTATTGATTTGGGCTTCAATCTTGACCATCTCTTCACGCTGCTGCCTTTGTAGTCTTTCTTTTTCCTTCTGTAATCTCATAAGATCATCTTTATAATCTTGATCAAGTAATTTCCCTTTCGCTTTCAGGATAGTATCAGCGAATCGGGTCTTCAACTTGGCAGCACGTAGAGCTTTCGGGGACAGCTGATCATCAACACTTTTGGCCAGTTGATCATCTTCTCTTGCCGGTCCAATTTTCTGGACGATTTTCCAAGTAGATTGACGGCCGCCATTCTTCGCCCTCGGAATTCCGACATCAAAACAACGTTCAGACTTCAAACTTTTCTTTACGTGACAACCTACCTTCTCGGCGGGTCTACGCTTATTGAAGGCTGGCATTGTGAATGACAATCTCACTTTCTTATTTTCTTGGGTAATTCTTGAATGATTTTCTTGAGTGATTCTTGAATGATTTTCTTGGTTTCCTTTGATTTCTTCAACTTGATTATGGAAGCGTGCAACTTCTATGGATCGAGAAGTGCGGTTTCCTTTAATTTCTTCAACTTGATTCTGGAAGCGTGCAACTTCTCTGGATCGAGGATGTACGTTCTTGATGTATAATGTGTGTTTTTGTAAAGTTTACTCGAGTATATGTATTGTTGCCCTTGTGCCGTATTTGACGAGGGAAGGAGCGCGCGAATAAACTGTTTTTTAGGTCACACCGCTTAAATGTTATAATATGGAAACTCTACAATTATTCACGAGAGGAATTCTATTGGAATCTAAAAATTTGATCTAATTTATTGTGATTTTTAAATTGGTTGTAGGCCCCATTAAACATTAGAACTTGATGTTGATCCAATGATTCTTATTAAGTCATATCATTATGTCAGTAAATGAAGTCAAATTTTTAGGTCCAAATAGTATTACTCTATTCACAATATCACTAACATCTCATTTAATTTATATTTAAACATCATTAACATTTTTTACTATTAAACTATCATTTCTCACAGAAAAAAAAAATCATCAAAAATACAAAAATTACTCTTATATAAAGCCAAATAATCTTTCTACATAAAATTCGAGTGGATTAAAATTTATTTTTTTTATATTAAAATTTACGCACATTAAAAATCATTTTTTCACATATTAAAATTTAATTCAAACTGATTAAATTTTATATTTTTACACATTAAAATTAGAGCCTATAAAAATTTATTTTTTTAGTATTAAAATTCGAGCTGATTTGGGTTTTACCTAAAATGTTAGCGCTAATTAAAAATTTTTTGAGTCAATTAAAATTTATATTTTTTTTATGTATTAAAATTTGAACGAATTAAAATTTAATGCGAATTGATTAAAATTTAATTCGAGCCGATTAAAAATGAATTTTAATAGGTTCGAATAGAATTATAATTGGTTCAAATTTTAATACGCACAAAAATATAATTTTTAATCAATTGAAATTTTAATAAATAAAAAAATAAATTTTAATTAAGTTGAATAGAGTTTAAATCGATTCAAATATCCGTTGGTTTCATACAACGGTAGCAGTTTTATTAGGAAAACAAATTACACTTAGGCCCCTTAAATTATGTCCCTTATTTCGTGTTACCCCTAAACTATCAACTTTTTAACTTTGCACCTTAACTTATTAGTTTGAGTTTCACATTGCCCCCCAATCTTTGACTTTCCATTTTTCACAACAAAAATGGGTGTTAGGACATGTGCTTTTTACTTCCTCAACTCCTAAAATGAGAGATTTTTTTTGCCAATTTTTGTTATTATATAAGATTTAGCAAAATTTTAAACCATAAAATATTATTGTGATAGGTTTTTTTGAATAAAAATTGGGTTTTGGTCTTGAATTTTTAACTCATGGATCATATTGGCCAATTCATATACAATACGATCATAAATAGGTCAGTCGGAATATCTGACACATTAATTAACTATGCTAAATTAAGATTGATTAATACTTGACCCAAACTAAAATAATACGGTGGAACACTACTCAACACAACACAATCACCACCCCTGCCTCCTGGATGCATCACTGTTTGACGAGCACCGTGACATAGGCATTTGCAGATGGTATACTCTAAAGGTCTGTTTGTTTCGAATATAAGATTTAGGCGATATAAGATTTTATATATATTCCACTCCGATCTAATGGTATATTATACCCAATTTTAAACTATAATCTTATTCTTCCCCTTGTTTGTTTGCCACAAATATTATCTGTAACACCCCAATTCAAGGTACAATATATGTTACAAATGAAGAGGAGAAACCAACAACAACCACTTAACGCCGATACCTTTATATACATACAAATTATGACTACTGTTCATAACAGATCGGTATTACGATCTGAAAAATAATACTGACTATAAAATGCTAAACAAATAAGGTATAAGATGAGTCCCACGTATTATTTCTCTAATACCGCCTCCTTATACCACTCTAATTTTTTAAATATACTAGTCCCAACACTAATTTTTGAAATAAACTAGTCCCAACAGCATTGCTAAACATCACTTGATACGATGATTCATAGGTAACTGGACACATTTTGTATGAGATTATTTGCATATAACCCAAAAAATACTCCATCCATTATTCTATTTAATACAAAGTTGTATCAAGAGTTCTTAGATCTCTAATGTCATTAAATTTGTCCTAAGCTTGGAAAGTGCATTCAGAGAACTCTTGATACATCTATGTAGCTTGAACTTCTTTCTTTTTTAGCGCTTACAGATCTTGATCTTTGAAGCATCATCATTAAGAAATCAAGTTGAGATTTACGTAAAGAGTTCATGAAATAAGCCAATTACAAACATATTCATAACAAATAACTTTACATTCAAACACAACACGATCATAGAGCAAATCAAATGAGTTTGAAACCTCTAGCACAATTAATTAAGTAGTTTGGATTATGATTGACAAGTGTGACACAAACCCGACTCAGCACAACACAATTGTCGACCTTGCGTTTAGATTATCATTGTTTGATGAGCATCGAGGTATAGGTTTGGAAAAATGAGATGCAAAAAATAAAGTGAACAGTAGGATGAGGCGCAGACTAGGTAGTTCTTTTAAGACGATTCACGCCCTTTTATGAAAGAAACATAATGTAGAAGGTAACAACGCGTTATCCCCAAGATACAACAACTCAACTTATTAACTGTTGCTTTACTTGGATCTGCACAATCAAATGAAGCAGAAACTTCACACGACATCTTTGAATATTGTCCTGAAACTTATACAGTAGAGAGATAATAGATATAATATTGTATAATTATATATATATATATATACACACACACACACATAGATAATATAGGTGTTTAATACTCCATAATTACTCTTATATTTAATCAGATAATAACTTAAAAAAATGGTTGTTGGAATACTAGTCGTTGGAGCTTTTGATTTTTAGCAACTGAAATTTTAATATAGAAATAATGACGAAAAAACAATAAAATAAAATATTAAAAAGTGAGTTTAATATTAGTTAATGTTTTATTCTATTTAGAGTCATAATGTCTTACTTTAACTTAAAGGTTAGATAACACTAATATATATATATATATATATATATATATAATCCATCATGAAAAGTCATTTGATCAAGTATTTCATCAAGTCTCTTTTTTTTTTCATCAAGCCTCTGTTGGAAAACCTATCCTTGATCATAATTTCGTTAATGAATTGACTATCAAACATATTGCAAGATTCATCTTTCTTAGGGTCCCTCTTTAGAAGTCCATCAACTTGCCTTTGCAATCACAATTGCATCAAGTATTACATATTTTCTTAATAAATAATTGTAATCTATAATTTCTCGCTTAATTCAATTGTCTATTAATTCCCCTCACGAACTAGTCTTGCATCTGAGAGGGGTAAATGGGGTGAGCTTGGGAGGCCCGATAATTTGAAACACAATAAATAGAATGATAATCCAACAATCAACTACATAATAAATAAATAAAATGAGCATTTAACACAAACCTTTTCATAAAATCATACAAAACCCAACGATTCAATCTTTCAAGTCACACATGACTTCATACTTAGTTTGTCTTGGTTACATGCTAGGCGCTTCTCTATACACCCGATTCTAACACATGCCTCTCAGCGCCAATCACATCTTATAACCATAATCATGCCACCGAACTCACTTGATGCATGTGTCAATTGGTTCCAAGCATTCCACCAATAAAATATCTTCTGCACAACAAATCCAAAGACTCACCAAATCCAAGTCTGAATGAACATTGAAATTCAATGGTCCAATAGATGAGAATACAATAATAATAGTAATAAAAGGACTCCTTATAATGGGATTTATGAATGGAGGTATATTATGAAATAAACCACTTACTGTATCTTTAATTGAAGTCATTAGATCTACCACTTATAGTATCCGTAATCGAAGTCATTAGATGTAGATAAGGCTAATAATTGAGTTGAGTTACTCGACCTTAGCTCGTGATTTAACAAGTCGAGTTCGAATAATTTTTTAAATTTCTTTAGAAAATGAACTTAAAAAGACTTGGATCGAGCTCATAAATCTTGGTTCGTTTATATGTAAAATAGTCGAACTACTCAGACTCGGCTTGAATTTGACATGTTTTGGACTGAACTTATTTTTTAAACAAGCCGAGTTTGAATAATTTTTTGTACTTATTTACAAAAATTAGCTTGACAAACTCAACTTAAGCTTGCAAAGGTTAGCATGATTAAAAGCCTTAGATGCAGGATCCACAAATCACAATGTCTGATTTTCAGCCCTTAAAAAAATAAATATTTGTGTCCACTTAAAAAAAAAAGATGTCAAATGTTCACATAAGTACCGCTCTTTCTCTCACTCTTTTTTTTTTTGGAGGGTGAGAGGGCTTGAACCCTTGATCTCAAAAAATAAATCTTTCACATGACAAAAAGTATCATTAAACCAAAGGTCGTTAGTTCTGTTATCTTTGTAACCCCTCCTTTGAACCATTTCTTTTGATTAATGATGTGTTTATTAAACTATTTACCAATATTGTTACCAAATAAATATGAATGGCTGGATCCGTAGATCTTCCTAAAGATAGTGAATGGGACAAAGTGATCCAACAATCTATATGATTTGGTAAAAAAAATTTGGTAAACTATTTAGTAAGTATATCAATGTTCGTTTAGGTATGAAATAGGTCCATACAGGGGTGAATTGCAATTTTTTAAAATATGTAGGGTATATTTAAAATTCCAAAAAATTTAAGACACTGCCCCAGTGCAATCCTATAAAAGTTCATGGGTAAGTTTGTATTTTACAAACAAGTGTGGCATCTTTTGAAATTGACCGACTTTCAGTTGTGGACCCATATGTCAGCTGATAAGATTGGGAT